CACCTCAGAGGGCAGACCGATCTCCAGTGGTCTCCTTTGCATCCAGGGCATGGCCCATGGGGCCTCTTAGGGCAGTTCCTCTTGAGGTGGCCTGGCTTTCAACAGTGGTAGCAGATGAATGCAGTTGTTGAGTTCTTCTTGGAGCCCCGGGAATCAGACCTGGGATCTGTTTCTTCAGCTGTGGTTTTTTCTAGACCAGTGACTCATAGAGGTTCATTTACTATGAGTCTGCTGCCCATCCTCAGACAAGGTGCCTAAGCTTCAGACAACTCACAAGTAAACATAGAAATCCAGTTGGTTAATATTAAAGCCTGTTCAGAGCCACTATATAGTGGTCTCCAACAAGACATATCATTCTTTTCTAAATCCCCAGAAGGATCCAACTAACCCAGAGTCAAAACCACCCTTACCATGGATTCCCAGGCCAGCAAGTTTTGGCCCACCCATCCAGCTCACTGATTCTTTATTCTTCCAGACCCTGTGCCTTCCCAATCAAACTCTAACCCATGTTAGATTCTGACCAAACCTAAACCCTACCACTAACCCAAGCCCAACCCAAAACTGAACTCAAACATTAACTTGAACTGTAACCCTAATCTCATCCCAAAACCTAATCATTATCCCTAACACTAATGACAGAAAGGAAAAAGGGGACAATCTATCTCTGGTGTCTCCTTTTCTCAGGGGTTCCAAACTCCTAGAACCTCCTAGAACCAGAGCTGAGGAAAAAGGGTCCAACTGACCCTGGGAAATGGGTAGGGAAAAGGAAGCAGTTGATAATACAGTTCAAAGGTAAAGTTAATGAAGAGCCTATTAGTCTGCTAGCTCACTGTGATAAGGGAGGGGTCCACAAAGACCCATGAGGCATCTCACCAGAGACAGGCCTAATACAAGATTTAGTGGAATGTGTTTAGGTGAAATCTAAATGAATACTCTGATGGGCACACATCAAGGACTGTACACTGGATTCAATGTCAGGTCTGAACTGTGAAGTAGACCAGGATACTGTTTTCCCTGGCAGCCAGTTAGAATGCAGAATACAGTCTCAAAGCCACTTATCTAAAGCTCCATATCTAGGCTGCAAATCAAGGCATCTTCCTGAGATCAGGATGTGTCCGTTTTACTAATGACTCCTACGATTTTAATAAATAAGGATTCACAGTGTAACAAGAGGCACTCAAATAAACAGGTCATTTGGATAACTTACATCTGCATAATGACTTACATCTGCAAGGAGAAAATCTATTTCCTATTAGCAATCCTGGCTTTATCTGAATCCCTTACCTTGGCTGATGAGTAACAGAGTGGACAAGGACTGCTCACATGAAGCTGATGCTTAATTTTCCAGAGGCCAGTCATGCTAAGATCTGGAGGAAAGGCAATCCAAGCAAAATGGAAGCAAAGTCAAAAACCTTGAGGTAGGATTAAGTTGGTTACCTCAGGAGCAAAGAGGAAATCAGCAAGAATGGAGCAGAGGGGTACACCAGAGGCTGTATATAGGGCCTTGTACACTGGCCTTCATATTGTTTTCCAGGTACACTGAAGTCAGTGACCTGCAGAAACATCTGAAATACATTAAGGATCACTGTGGCTGCAGTGAAGACAGGAGGTGAGTCAGAAGTAAGAAAGATTTAACATCAGTTTCACACAACAGTCAAGAGACAGGGTCAGAACTTGTAAAGAAAATATAGATTTGAAAACACAGAGCTGACCTGCTTGCTGAAGTACTGAACACATGGGGTCAAGAATGACACAGGTTTGTGGCTTAATCAACTAAATGAGGCAGCAGTGCCAGTGTGTAAAAAGCAGGGGAGAGAAGAGATTGGAGCCTAGTTAGGTGTTTTGAACATGTAGTTCGATTTGCCCATGAAATACCCATCAGAGATATCAAGTAGACAGATGGGCTCCAAGTTCCATCTAGTTTGGAATGCAAACTTGGGAAACCCCAGCAAAGATCAAACTGCTTAAGAGGTCTCTGCAGGTCTCCTACTCCATGTGGAAATCCCAACTCGTTAAAACAGAGGGCCTGGGTCTGACTCCCAAAGCAACGAAATGTAGATGGATAGTCTACTAAGGCTTAATCCAGGTCTCTGGCTGGGGGCAGAAAGCTCCTTGGCTCCTAAGAACAGAGCCTGAGGTGGTGGAGGCCAAGCTGGTACCCTGAGGATGACACCTGCTCAGAAAAAAAGGTAATATGGACAAAGGACCAAGGATTGGGGTGAGAACCCGGGCCCAGCAGTGCCAGGCCCCTGCCATCTGTACTTAATGTAACATAGACAGCATACTCTTTCACTCATTATTCATTTTTATAAAAAAAAGATTTATTGGGACATTATGACATAATACATAAAACACTAAACTCTTGACAAGGCATCCTTTCAAATGTGAGTCCAGTGTACAGTTACATAGCTTTCCCACACAACCTCATCATCAACAGCTATTTAAATCCTGGAATATGACTACTGTATTCTTCATACAACACACCCTTCAGTTTATTGTAGATTTTATAAAGGCACCTCTGCCTCTTCTGGCAAGAGAGAGATTTCATCACAAAACCTACAAATGGGGTCTTGTGCTCATCAGACAGTCTCATATCTGCCCAAGTGCCACAGATTCATTGACCAACCACAGACAGGGCAACTCCACATACACTGACAGAAAATACCTGGCAAGGCCCTGCTCTCAAAAAAAAACCCTGACAGGCTACCATGGTGAAAACTGTTCCAAGATGGGGAAGAGGCTAAAAGAAATTGAACCTAAACTCTTCATCAGGAGTATCAAGGGTGGCCTTGGCTCTCCCTCCTGGACGAGGCCTGCAGACCCTTCGGCTCTTCCTTCTGGCAGACTCACCTACAGGCTGCACTTGGGCTGAATGAGCAGCTGTCAAGGGAAGGGGAAGCACAATCAGAACTAAATAATAACAGTTAATATTACCCATGCAGTTAAGATGGTCCACGCAGCTCTAACCCCTTTGTACAATTCAAAACCAACTACTCAAAAGTATAAGGTAATATCACCACTACCCCTCATTTAGGGTGAGATCGAGTAACTTGCCAAAAACGTTAGGATCTAAGTGGTAGGTCCAGGATTTGAACCCAGGTTGTTTGGCTTCACAAGCTACACTCAAACTGTTAGGGCATCTGGCCTCCTGGATAGCACAGAAAGCCAGAGAAAGACTGGTGAAACAGCTTTTCCCACCCCAAAAAACAGAATCAGAAGATCAGGCTCTTTCTACCCCTGCTCTCACCCCAGGACCTTTCCCCCGAGAAGGTACTATACACTTTCTGCCGCTCAAGCTTCTCTGAGCCCCATCTCAGGCCATGCTGCCCTGGGCCTCTTCCTTCCACTTCCTAAGCACTTCCTACTTACTCCCTTGAGCCAGAGGGACTGAACCAACCTTCCCAAATACCTACTCACCTGCCCTGAGAGTTCGCAGAGCCTCCAGCCACTCAGCCTCCATCTGAGCCCTGTAGTTCCCAAACAAGGAGTGCATTAGCTGCCTCTTCCGGGGCAGGGGGGTTTTTTGACTGCGCAGGGTTCGGATCGCCCCAATAGCCTGCTCTTCTGCAGAGAAAAATAAAGGCCTAGTGAACTCAGGTACACCGACCTATCATCCCACTGCAAAAGCAATGATCCTATCCCTTGGCAGCACCAGGAGGCGATAGCACTACCACGGTTCACCACACCCCGACTACACAGAAGGGCCCCTCACTCTGCTTTGGGGTGGGTCTCTGCGTCTTGAGGCCAAGCTCCAACTTCTCCACGCACCAGGCCAGTTCCCGGGCCAGCTGCTCTGCCTGTGATGGGCCAGAGGAAGCGGCTATGAGCTCAGGGCACTGACACCCAACAGCTCCCACCCCAAACGCTTCACCGCCTTGACTCTGGAGATCCCAGGCCACACCCATGCGAGGACCCGCGCCCGTGGGACGCGGAGACCCCACCCTTGCCTGTGCCTCGGCGCTCAGCGGGGCTTCCTCGGGGGCGGGCCTCTCCGAAGGCTTCTCGCCTCCATTCGACACAGAAGTCCTGTTCTGGGCTTTCTTCTTCTGTTTGTTGGAGACTGCGTCGCCTTCACAGCCAACGGGGTGCGCTCTGGTGGCGACATCGGTGCACTCGAGTGGTTCTGAGCAGAGGGAGACTGAGGAAGGATTCGGAGCTCCGGGGACCCGGCCGGGACGCCGGGATTTGCGGCGCGCGCGGGCGCTAACCGGGCGTGAGGCTGCAGGCGCCTCCGGAAGAGGATGTCCTAGAGCCTGCGGAGAGGAGGATGGCATGAAGGTCACAAGATACGGCCGAAGGCCTCAAGCCCCGCAACCAGCACTTGGCCCGCACAGCTCACCGCCATGCGCCCGAGTGGCTACCGGAAGTTACGTAGGGCCTTGAGTCCAGCCAAGGATTTCTTCCCTGGGACACTCTTCCGCTGCGCGGGTCACCTTTCTGCTCGCCGGGGGCGTGGCTTGCGGGGTGGGGCGTGGCGTGCGGGGTGGGGGCGTGGCGTGGGGCGTAGGGGCGTAAGGGCCTGAGTGGCTCCCGAAAGGGCTGCGGGAGATCGCGGCAGGGTGCTACCCCAACCCGCACCGTTTTTGGAGGCAGGACAAAAGTCTAAACACAGGTTGCCTTGTAAAGTTCACCTGCCAGTGGGGAGACAGTAGCAGGTAAACGTAAAAAGCTCTCGCCCAGAGTGCCACGTGGACAGCTTCGGAAGGGTGGTCAGCAAAGACCCTCACCGAGCGAGAGACGTTTGGCGGCGACCAGGGACTGTGGCCTGACTGGAGTGTGGGCGTGGGCGGGCCGTGGGTGAGAAGGGGACAGCTCGGGTCTTGCAGAACCCTGTAGAGCAGCCCAGAGTCTGTGTCCATTATACTGGCCTTGGGAAGTCGCTATAAATCGCAAGAGTTAATGACCTTACTCAGCTATGTTTAAAACTCGCTCTGCTGTTGTGTATGAGTGGTGCAGGGGCGGTAGAGGAACATGCAAAAATTTCAGCATGTTTCACTCGCTGGTGGACTGGATGTGGCCATGAGGGAGCTGGGGAGTGGGAGCAGGAGGAAGCCCCACTCCTGAGACCTTTATGCCTCCTGGGGGAAGGGCCCAAAGCGGAGAGAAAATACCTAAGAACTGAGGGGAGATGGAGGTTGCAGGAGGACCAGGGGTAAGGCCAAGCTGGTGAAGGGTGTGGGGTGTCACTTGAAACAAGAGCCTGCGGTGTCTGATGATTCCTGCCAAGGAGATAGGGGTAGAAAGTGTTGTTTCCTGCCGGGCGTGGTGGCGCATGCCTTTAATGCCAGCACTCGGGAGGCTGAGGCAGGAGGATCATTGTGAGTTGGAGACCAGCCTGGGCTACAAAGTGAGCTCAAGGACAGTCTGAACTGAATAGGGAGACCCTGTCTCAAAAAGACAAAAAAAAAAAAAAAAGAAAAAAGAAAGTGTTATTTCCTGAGGCAATAAAGTGGGAGTGCTGGCTGCCCGGTCTTTGAGATCTCAGAGCAGAAGTCTCCACATCACAGAGAGCTGATGTATTAGCTATTCATTGCAGTTTCTGAGGGTCAAGAATCTAGCAACAGCATAGCTGGTAGTTCTAGCTCAATGTCTCTCATGAGGGTGCTTCAACATTTAAGGGAGGAATGTCAAAAAATTGTAGACATTTTAAAGCCACCACACTCGGTTGTGTATTCTAATCCTGGGAGATTGGAGGTTTGGGGATGAGTGAAGTCCATATCCAAGGGGCTTTTTCCCTGCCTCTTTTGACTGAATCATCCTGTGACTTGGCCCAGAAACACCTTCCAGAAATTTCCCTAAACAGATTCCTTCCTCTTCCCCTATGAGCCAGGCTCCTAAATAACTTCCACCACCATTTCTAGCCTGAACAGCTGCAACTGATTCTTCACCTATGCATCCAGTTTCATTCCCTCCTCCTTTCCGAACCAGCCCGATTCTAGAATGATCTAAAATAAAAACTAACCATGTCACCTTCCTCCTTGAAAATCTTCCATTTCTTCCAGGATAAAGTCCAGGGTCCTTATCCTCACTGTCCAGCCAACACATTCCCTTGCCTAGGCAACTATTTGCAGACCTTGCTTTGTTTTGCCTACCCTGGTCATACAGCCCTCCAACCTCAACTCACCTCTCCCTGTACCTCTCGCTGTCCTCTACATGGCCAAAGCCATGCCAGCAGCCAGTCTTTCTGATGTTCTCATTATCACCCTGGCTACTTCCCAGCTCCTGACACACATTAGTCTCTACTAAAACAATCTTTCCTGGGCTCAGTTCCTTGGTCTCTTCGGGAAATATTTTTAAATTTTAATACATGCAAGTATAAGTATACACAGTTGGTTTTTTTCATTACAAGAGATTAAATCCAGAGCCTCGCATGTACTAGGCAAGTGTTCTACTAGTGAGCTGTATCTATAGCCCTTTTTATTTATTTTGAGACAAGATCTCACTAGGTTGCCTAGGCTGACCTCAAACACTCAGTCCTCCTCCCTCAGCTGAATAATGTACCATAAGCCCAGCTCATGGTTGATTCTTGATTTTTCAGCAGTTGTGTTCTACAAAGTCACTGAAAACAAAACTCATTGAATTAATGAATAATAAACTATTACTACTTGGGGAAATACAAAGTTAAGTTCCTGGGAACCTCTGGTCATAATTTTGTGTATGTTGTATTTAAGGACACCTTATTTTATACATATTGATTCATTAACATTGAACTCATGGCTGTTAGTACTATTACTCCTATCTAAATGAAGCTGATCTCATACATTTTCTGTGATCTCACAGTCTTCTGGCATTTAGCAAAAACTAAATAGTGCCTAAACACTATGCTTGAGACTTAATCAAGTTGCCAAGAAAAACTAGAAAAATGCAAATAATGTCACTAAATATACAATGGCAAGGGTTCTTGTTTACACTGGGGGAGTAGAAAATTTGTTCAAACTGACAACATTCAAATCAGGCAGATTTTTCACTGTTCTGGGCCGCTCGTAAATAACCACAAAAGCTCTGAAATGCCCTAAGTTTTAATTTGGCAATTACAAATGAATCCTACTGATAGACAAATTTGCAAATACAGAATTCATAAATATGTATGACATATTTTGAGCGTATTCCAATATTTTGCCATTACTAATATACTAGGCATGTTCTTGTGTGTCTTATTTATTTATTTATTTATTTATTTGTCTTTTTGAGACAAGTTCTCACTCTGCAGTTCAGGCTGGCCTTGGGCTCACTTGTAGCCCAGGCTGGTCTCAAACTTGCAATGATCCTCCTGCTTCAGTCTCCCAAGTGCTGAGATTACAGGCGTGCACCACCATGCTTGGCCTTGGTTTCCACTCTTAATGCCACACAACAGGGATTAGACTCAAACATGAGTTTTAGAAAATAAAGCCATATTCAAATCATAGCATCCCACTAGATATTTTCTTTCCTTTTTTCCTTTTTTTTTTTTTTCAGGTACTAAGGCTTGAACCCAGGGCCTTCAAACTGAGCTATAGTCCTGGCCTATTCGTTTTGTTTTGTTTTTTGAGACAGGGTCTCACTAAGTAGTCCAGGCTGACCTTAAACTCTGTGTAGCTCAGGCAGGCATCAAAGTTTCAGTGATCTTCCTGCCTCAGCTTCCCAAGTGCTAGGATTGTAGGCATGCGCACCATACCCAGCCTTAGGTAGTTCTTAAATCAGACACTGCGACATTCACAAGTTTACCCTAAGGCCTGCAATAAAACCTATCATAGAGGACGCAAGGGAAAGAAAGTAAGAGGAAAGAGGAAAGAGGCATCTCTCTTCTCACATCACATTCTGCCACTGCCCCAGCTCTGCACACATTGCCTTCCATCAAATCCTATAGACTGTCTCCCTAGCTATTGATTTCTAATATCTGACAATGAAAACAGATACCATTTATAATAGAATGAATAAAGAATATGTGATACACAGCCTCTAGGCTATTCCAGGAAAAGCACCCTACCCCCTCACCTACATTAGCTAATAAATAGTGGCTAGCTCAGAGTGTTTTTGTCTCTACCTGTCTTGAGGCACTGAATAATACATTTAGCCCCGAATAATACATTTAGAAAAGACAGAAGAATATGTGATACATTCCCACAATGGAATGCATGCAGCAGTGACCATAAAAGAACCATCTTTATAATTACCATTAGACTGATAAATCTCACATTATGCAAAGCAAAGAAATGAGACACAGATGTCAGCAGGGTGCTGTGGCACCCTGTACGCAGACTGTGTTCCTGTTTGTCTGCAGGAGTTCCTGGAACATGGCAAATGTTCACCAAGTGTAGGACATATGAACAATTGCATGTTTACTTAAACATGCAGGTAGAGGTCGGGCCTGATGGGGTTGAACCTGGTCCTTAAGTAATGACACTTTAAAGCCACTGGTGGGGACAAACACACAGATGCTGAGAGAGAGGAAAGCTTAGTTCCATGAGCATTGCCACATTAGGATGCAGAAAGGGATGTGGCAACAATTGACTCTGAAAAGGAGCAGAGAGGAAAGAGCTAGGGGAGTTCTCTGGGAAGTGGAGGTCGAAGGTCAGAGGCTGCCACAGAAGCAAGACAGAAGAAGTCATCTGTCTTAATTGCCTGGTATTCAAACATCAGTGATACCTCCCAGAAGAGAGTAAGGGATTCTAGGAAAGGCAGTAAGTGACTAAACATATGCAGCACTGGACACACATGAATTTTCAGGATCAAGGAGTACACTGAGCTCAAACCCAGAAAAAATTACATTTTGACATGCTCCTGTGAAAGTACAGAAAAATGAGTCAAAGCACAAATCTTAAGGCAATCAGAGAGAAGCACCAGCAAAACTAGCATTCGCAATATGTACTGAAGTTCAGCAGATGAAAGAATAGCTTTAAAGGACTCTGGGAAAACTGAGACCCTGCAGTTCTATGCAGGGTAAATGGTCATTCAAGAGAGAAACAAGAAGTTTTACACAAGCTGAATGAATTTGTTACTTGGATATCCTCACAGAATTAACTGGCAAAGAATGTAGTGTACTTTGAAGGAACCTCAACTGGAATTATTGTTTGCAAGAAAAGGCCATCAGAAGCCAGGTACATGCCTGTAATCCCAGCACTCCGAGGGGCAGAGGCAGAAGGAGCACAAGTTCAAGTCCTGCCTGGGCAATTTAGCAAGATCCTGTTTAAAAATGAAATAATAATAATAATAATAATAATAATAATAATAATGGCTGGTGATATAACTCAGTGTAAAGAATCTGAGTTCAATCCCCAGTATGAAAAAGAAAAAGAAAAAGAAAAGAAAAAAAAGAAAAGAAAAGAGAAAAAGTCCTCTGCAAAAAAACCCTGCAAATACATGGGCAATGTAAGCAAACATTGGAGTAAAACAAGAACAACA